GAGCTCTCCGGATGATGGCAGAGAGTGTCGATGCAGATTTGAAGGCAAATCTGCACATTGTGCAACTAGTTTATGATATAGACGTCGTTTTTAAAATTCAGTGTCAGCGATCCATGGAATAATTTTTTCCACAAGTATTTGTTCTTCTAAGCTCATCTGACTTTAGTCTTTGATAATAACATATATTGGCCCTTTATTGAGTTCTACTATAATTTCAGAGAAAATAATACTTGGACGCCTAGCATGGTTCAAACAGATTACCCATCCTACAAATTAATGTACAACACTTTAAAACAAAATTTAGAGCATATCCAGAATAAAAAAGTGGCTCAGGAAACCACCAGCTCTGGAAATGGTTCTTAAAGAAGCAAATAAGTCGATTCTCTATAAATACTTATTAAGCTGCCCCATTCAAACAAATGTAATAATTGGCATTATTATTTTTAAAATATAAAGAATTTAACAAAAATCCCAAAAATATCTAATATTTTTAATATCTATTAAATTAACACAACATATTTATTAAAACCAAACAATTAGAAATAGTTCATTGTACTAGAAAATTAAAGGACAAATCGTGCGAATAATCATTAAAAATAAATAAGTCGAGTTTCTTTTTAAAATAATCACATTAAGGTTGATATAAATTGAGAGTCAATCGTTGACACAAAAGGACTCAAGGGGCGGCCGTTGGGCCAAACCTATGCCCAAAAACGTAACTTAGTAATTATTAGTATTTATTATATATAGTAAAGTGTGTGTGTGTAGTGTTTTAGTTTCAAAGGTAATATCTATTTTATTTTAACATGTTTAAATCTCTTGTTTGGGTTATGTATTTTAAAACAATTCATTAGTCTTTCTTCAAATGCCAATTCTTTCATTTTCGTCCCAAGTTTACTTATTAAATGTTTTTATCAGTTTTAAGGGTTTTATCATATAAAGAGTTTTTTTATATTAAAATGTTTTTGTGATGTAAAAGGTTTCTTTATATCAAAGTTTCATCATAGATTATATTATATTAGCATGGTTTATCATAACAAAGATTTACAATTGTGGGTAGTAATTTTTGCTATGTCTTATTTCAAAAATAGAGATTGTTTTGATTTATTGAAATTTGTTATTCATTTTTTACTTATATTTAAATATACGTGTTATTGTTTATTAACCTATTTTATTCTCACCTCTTTCCAAAAACCAGTAAGAAATATTCCGAGCATGTTAAGCCTCGGCGTTCCTACCCTTAAGGACTTGAGAGTCTTAAGTCAGTTGCCAAAACCGCTCGACATATGCTATTAAGGGATGTTTTTTTTTGTATTTTTATTATTTTTTTTTATTTTTTATTTTGCCACTGGCGAATGGATGTTCCTTCAGGACTCCAGGACCCTAGGGCTGGTGACAAGCGCTGCCTTTATCCCTTAATAGTATAGTAACAGTAGCTAAAGACCTATCAGTAGTTGTAAATGGTCTTTAGGATTAACTGGTTGTTACACAAACAACTAGAAGAAATGATCCTTGGTGAAACAGTCATCTGTCAAGTCTAAGCTCCGAGATGAGAAACCGTAACAGCTTCAGGAAATTCTACGAAGAAATTAAGTTTACACCAGCGGTAGCGAGCTTGGATCTGACGAAAGGGGAAGTTAAATTTTTAAAAAGTTAAAAGAAACATAATAAATATAAGAAACATAATAAATAAACATAAATCCACTGAAACCGACCTGCAGGCAGTGTCAGTTTGTATGTGGAAACTTTGGTATGAAAAAAACTATATATAAATAAAATATTATTAACATTAATAAAAGTAACTCAGTAAAGTATCACAATAAGGTAAAGCGTCACAATAGGGTTAATATGAGTCACAATTAGGGTAAAGCATCACAATAGGGTAAAGCGACAAATAGGGTATATATAAAATAATGTTTTAATCGGTATGACAGTTGAAATATAATGCAATTAAAATTAATATTATGTATGATGTATATGTAGGTACACATAAAAGGTATAACATAATTTGATACAAGAATTTATATTAGTTAGATTAGTTTATTAATAATTTATATTATTTAATTTAGTTTGGTGTACTCAAGGTGTACCCTACGATATGTTATTTATTATATTATGAAATGTTACTCTGGGTGTATCTTTAATCCAAAGTTTAAATGTAATTTTATTTTGGATATTTTTAAGTTCTGCTGGAATGCTGTTATAAATTTTAGGTGCAAGGTAATTAATGCTTCGTTGTTTAATTGTTTTTTCACATTTAGGTACCTTTACTTTAAGGTTTTTGTTTCTTGTAGAATACGAGTGTGACAGAGGTTCTATTATTACTTTTTTTATGAATGTTTATAATAATTTTTTCACAATACAGTTGCCTTACGTCAAGTACATTACTAATTTGATATAATGCGTTACTAGAAAACCTAATGTTTTTTCTATATATTATTCTTACTATCCATTTTTGTAATATGATCACTTTATTAAGATGGCAATCATGAACTCCTCCCCATCCCAGCACACCATAAGACAACTGTGATTGAACTAAGGCAAAGTAAAGAATACGTAAATGATTAATATCTAAAAAAATCTGTCAAATATCGAAATCGACCTGTTAAGCCTCGTATTTTATTAATCAAATTATCGATTTGTGAATCCCATCGCAAATGTCTATCAATGGTTATTTATATTAGTTATATATTTAACTGCTTTCTCTTCTGGGATCTCTGTATTGTTATCAATAAGGAGATTGCCGAACCGAGGTAAGTTATTTACGTATGAAGTAAATGGTAGATAACAGGTTTTTTCAACATTTAGTGTAAGTTTACTGTATTGTAACCATTTCTTAATTTGTTTGAAATCTGTTTCTGCAGTTCGCTTTAATTCGACCCAAGAGTCTGCCTGATAAAAAATCGTGGTATCATCAGCAAAACTAAGGACCACACTTTTGACGTCAAGATTTAGTAAGCTATTTATATAGATAATAAAGAGAATTGGCCCTAGGAATTTTTAACAGTTCATATGGCTCCCCCCTAATACCATACGCATAAAGCTTTTTCAAAAGATTTTTGTGACAGACCATATCAAAGACTTTAGAGAGATCAACGAAGATACTTAAGGCAGGAATTTTTTTATCAATTGTTTCATAAATTAAAGATGTTAATGCACAAATAGTTTTACTTTTTTTTATTACACGATTTAGATTATTTTTGCATTTGTTGTATTCTGAGATCAACTCTTGATTATTTGAATCTGTGCAAAGTTTTTCATGAAGTTTATTTTTATGTGAAATAGATTTTATTTAATTATTATTTATCCAAGGTTTTTTGGTTTTTTATTAGATACAATTTTAACAGAATTTGTGCAATTGGTGACGTGACTCTTAAGAATTGTGATAAATGTGTCCATCATAAAATCTACATCGTTTGATGTTTCTAAAAATTTTCAAGATTGCACGCTCAAGTAAATTCTCAATTTTGTGTAATTAACGAATTTTTTAAAATTAGAAATATCTGGTATTTTTAAATAGTGGTAATTCATTATCAAACCGATATGATCGTGATCTGTTGTGTCGTGTAGCAGAATAAAAGATTTAATATCTGTAATATTTTTGGACAAAGTAATGATCTAAGCATGTACCACTTGCTCTTCGAGTTACTTGATTTATATACGAAGTATAATCAAAAGAGTTTAGAATCGTTTTATATTCCTCAATATAGTCATCATATTTTAACAAATTTATGTTGATATCACCAGTAATTATGTGGTTTTTGACCTTACAACTTGAAAGATAGTTTAATAAATCTAAATTATAATTTCGGACAAGAACTGGGAGATCTGTAGACTGCCGTTATTAAGATTGGATCTGATATATTTAGTATTTGTAATTCAACTACATTTGAAACACCCAATTTAATCAAATTATAGTTATAAGTAAATTTGTCGCAGATATATACAACAACTCCATCATATGAGTTGAAGTTGACGGAATTATAAATTATGTTATACCTCCTTATTTTGTATAAATCAATATCATATATAACATGTGTTTCAGTAAGGATCAGCACATCAAAATCTAATTGGTTCATTAATAACAGAAAATTATCAAAGTGTCTATGGATACTTCGGATATTTCTATGTAAAATCTTGATTTTCTTTGTTTAGCATTGATGATATTTCCGAAGGATTTTGTATCACATTGCTAGGAATTGTTTGAATATTATAGTTTCTTATAAAGGGATCCATTTAATAATGTTATTAATTGTAGTAAAGAAATTAAATCAAAGACACTTTTACCTTCTACTTTTGGATTTGTTTACCATCTACGCTAGATTGAGATTGTGATCTTAAATGTCTATTGCTAGAAGTTTGAAGGTTCTTGTTTACTAGAGGACTTGGATTAATACTTATTTTAGCCTTAGGAGTCGTGTTGTTTATTATTGGTTGTTGTTTCGTAGTTTGTTGTTCTTTCTTCTCGTTTTCATTTGTTTTTCTTAGGTTTTTTCCACCGTTATTTTCTTCATTTGATGTATCATCACTTATATTTGTAAGAGATGGCGTTGCTGGAGCACTACTTACTTTTCTTTCTCCGAAAATTACTTCTACTTGTTCTAATTCGTGGACGGTATAGGAGTTATTGTTGATATATAACTTGTTTCCTTTAATAAACGATTTATTTTCTTTGTTTTCCCGGGCCTTTTGTAGATGTGTTCTTAATATTTTATTTTCTGATCTCTGTTGATAAGTTAAGTCAGAGGCAACAGTCATTATAGTCTCTCTTAGAATTCTGCACTGTTTTAGTAATTCAATATTTTTCAAATATGATAAGAATTCAATCTTTACGAAATTATTCATAAGTTGTTCAAATGGGATGGAGTAATATCTACATCTAAGAGATCCTTAACTATTTTACAAATATTTTTAATATTTGATTGTTCTTCATTCAAACCGAAAACTAGGATGTTATTCTTCTTGGTTTGTCGCTCTAAGTATTCTACTCTGAAAGCTTCATGGAAAGTAAGGGGGAAAGAGCTTCCATCTTATGTAAAACTCATTTCTCTAGGAGCACAGCTTTTCTCATAAGGAACACAAAAGCGGGTCTTACAGAAAGGCTGCAGCAATTATCAAACAAATATGCAGCAATAATCGATTGAAGCGGGCTGCAAACAATTTTAAAACATTTAAGTCTCTTTAATATCTCTTGCCTTGCTTTACGGGGCACAGGAGGAATTACTACCACATAATTCAAATATCTCGAATAAGTCTAACAGAACCAAGAAAAAGGGCCAGAATCACCTTTATTCCAAAAGTAGGCAATATAATATTACACAACCTAAATCGTTCCGACCAATTAGCCCTACATTCTTGTAAATTGTTGATAATTATTTCAGAAAAGGAATGATAGAAAGGGTATCACTTTACTTAAGCCAGCAAGTATACTGAGCACGCAGATCGACATACACTACACAATACAGCTGACGATGATCCTATTTCTTTTTCGTAAATATACATAATAATATTGAGACAAATCACGACCGCGGTACAAAAATTATTCTAGCTACTAAGAGAGCTAATATCTCAAAGGTACAGAGACTAGCCTTCATTTGCATCACTAGTATGCCATTAGCACCTGTCCTACATCGCAATAAAGGTGATCGTCAACCTCTTATCTCTGTATTTATTGGTAGAGAATGTGGAAAAGAGGACAAGATAAGAAATATGAAGAAACAAAGAAATCAGACGTATGTCTACTGGTTTTAGGATCGACGATACCTTAGACTTGCCCCAAGATAAAATAAGTGAGAAATACAGTTTGTGAAAAACTTCAACAACACATGTCTGAGCTGCAAGAAAGAATGGTGCCATAAATCAATAGCCTTAATAATTTAAAAGCCATAAAAGGCACTGAAAGTTTGGGTAAATACCCGAGCAAACTACAGAATTCAAGATCAAGAGCACCACAGTTGAGTGAATATCAGAAAAGTGAATTATTTGCTCAGTTTAAAACTCAAAATCGTAAACTCCTTTAGGAATAAAAGACTGGCTGAGTCGCTTTAGCAACAGAAGGAATTACAATAAATGTATTTACCACCCCATAACAATATAACACAACATAACCATCCTAGTATCAGGATACACAAATACTAGTATCTTCCAGCGTATGTTAACTCTATTCTTGTCACATGATATGACGTGGTATAAAAAACCGACGCACCTACATGGATAAACACAAGTAATGAGACGTTTTTAAGGTTAATATACCAACACCTTGATAATAGCCATTTTGTTGAATCTTAATCTCGAGAATATTTTAATATCAATTTGTTGAAATATATTTTTTTGGCAATAATAATCTGATTAGAGTCCGAGAGCTTCTGCTCGAGGGCTTTAATCAACTGATTATTACAACAAAAATACCATAATATTAATCAAGTTCGTGTTATATTTGGGACGACTATTTCACTAGACCAAATAGAGAAATATTCGCGGATATTGCGCAAATTTGAAGAACATTTAATTAATTTAATATTGCAAATTAAACAAGAAAAAGATATGTGATAAAGCACAATAAGCTAAGAAATTTATTTGTAAGAAATGTATCTTCCAAAAGTTCATTGCAAGCAAAGTCAAACAATAATGTGATTTGAACAAACAAGATTTGAGTAAAACCACTGCACTATTTAAGGGGGTGTTAGCAACCATAATATTTTGGAAGTTAATTTTTTTGACAACATGCAAATATTGATTTTGTGAAACAAGTAACAGTTTTTTTGGGGGTCTTCGGAAGAAGGTTCTGTGTAGCTAAGCTCAATTGCTTTTAAAATTCCAATTTATTTATCCCACTCTGTCTTCTTTTAGTTAATTGCAGTTTACATCCTTCGCATTGCCTTTTCTGGATTGCTACGGAAAATTTGGGAATACTTAGTGTAAGCATAGCACCAGATTTCAAATGTAGGCTATTTATGGGCATGTATCCCAACAATATCTTCTGGAGAGGCAGAGACTTCAAAGTGTACAGAGCAAATACGATCTGTAAAAAGAAGATCTTGTTATAATATATGTACATGTAAAATTTTTCAAATAAAGGCTCCCACACTTACCATTTTTAGGTTTATTGTCCTTTTTTAACAACAAGGTACAATCCACTGCTTAGCCATATCATCATTCTTCGGTCATAGAAAATATTTAATATCCTTTCCCTTCGTAATTTTGCTATAATTTTGACAATTAGCCACAGCACCATTGGACATTTTATAGTTTTTTTATTGTCACAATAAAATTGCTGAAGAAAACACCACACCTAAATTTAAGCATTTGGAAACTTCCAAAAACAATGGGAAACACAAAATACTTTCAATTCTTATTTAAAATTGGAAAAATAAACACGTAACATTATTTCGTATCATTTTATCTTTATAATTCAAAATAAAACTGTATTAAAAAATAATTTTTATTTAAACGTCAATCAAATACTGTTTGCTTTATGCCACGTTACGTCATGCGCGGAAAGAGCAAAATTCAGTCTAAATAGTAGCATAATGGTATTTGTGTATCGTATCCTAGTACTAAAAGTAGTCGGCCCTGTTTAACTGCAGATATCAAAACATATGTTTACGTTCATAATTGGCAATTTAAAATAATTTATCATTTTATGTAACCATTCAGTAAAAATGTTTCGCTTTAACAATAATTAGTTAATTTTAATTGTATAACCTAGCATTAAACGTAATTTGAAACAAACTTTTTGTGCTATGTTTATGTATGCTAATGAACTTTTAATTCTAACAAAAAATTGGAAACTGAGCTGGACATTTTACTGTTTAAATTGTATATTTTTTTTTTGTAATAATTTACACAAATACATTATATATTGTTTTTTTACAAAGGGTTTATCAATATTCAATTAAAGTAAATATGTTTGTTTTAATTAAAATACCAATTAAAATACTTCATTTTAAATCACATGTATCAGAGTATTCTATCAACCTGAATATTCATTTTCTCCATGTAAAATGTCTACAGTATTTTACCTAGACTTGTATCGATAAGTTATAGTAGACGGCACAGATAAATTTTACTATTCCACAATTAAATATTAGTATTATTGATATATCTACCTATAATTCACAAAGATACCACCGATGTTCAGACTTATAGCGTCTTCGATTCCACTGGTATTGACATATGAATCCCTGAAAAAAGCGCAAAGGAAATAAGCGCACAGGAAATATCCGCACAGAAAAAAGCGCACAGACATATAAACGCACAGGAAATAAGCGCACGTGGAAAGATGCGCACACGGAAAAAACCGCACAAGTATAAAAGCGCACAAGGAAAAAAGCGCACATGGAAAAAAGCGCACATTGAAAAAAGCGCAAAGTACATGTAGTTTATATCTCGTTAAGAATAGGATACAGAACAACTGAAGATTCTCTGAATAAAAATTAAAAAATTAAGTTCTATGAATACATAGTCAAAAATTATATCGGTGTGAAAAGTAACCACCAAATATGCGGACTTATATCACAGATATTATGTACACAGAACAACAAATGCATGGGAATGGCATTCTGATTTTAATCCAACTTCTATAATTATCAACCGAGTTTATACCATTTTGTACATATTTTATTAAATTGTCAAGCTCAATCATATGTTAAAATTAACCCAACAAACTGTTTACAAAAAATTTAAAAAGTACCACAATAAAAAAATAATTTTATACAATTTAAAATTTTAGATTATGGGAACAATATTTGATCTAAATATGTTTTTGTAAAAGTTATGCATTTTTAGTATTTATCATTCTAATGAATATATAAAATCTTACAAATATTTTTATTCTTAGAAATATTTCTTAGCATTTTAATCCTTTTAATCGATTTGATTATGCCGTAATTGAATGGGTACTTATAGCAGGTATCAGCCTTGTGACGATTTTTTAATAATCGATTATTTGCAAGTGGTCATTTATTTTTACTAGGGATTATAAAATTTAGATAGGTACTTATTATTTCATTTATTCGGCGTTGTGACATTATTATATTTCTTGGAATTTATTATTTGCAGAATTAAGGCAGGTAAGTAAAGGCGCTTATAAATAGACTACGGAATTTAAAGTTAATTTATTGTGCTCTAATTCTTGAACAAGTTGAGTTGAATTTTTGTAATAAACGAAATGGAGTTTTCGTCTAGTCAAAAAGGCAAGCGAGTTCTTATTTACAATGGTTTTGAATATATACATTTTCGTACAACAAATGGGAAATATACATGGAGGTGCCGTGAAAATCGACAAACTAAGTGCCATTTCTTAATAAAAACAAAGGACAAGGACATTGTACAAGATCCAGGCAGTCATTGTCATGATTCATGTCCCCAAAAAGCAGAAGCAAATATCGCCAGAAGCCAAATGCAAGAAGCCATGACAGCGGTGAATGCTACATCTCGCAATGTTATTAGAGATAAATTATCAGGAGTAAGCAATGATGCACTTGCTTATATTCCAAAACAATCGTCTCTTGCCAGAACACTTCGAAATTATCGAGCAGAGAAGCACTTGCCAAATTCATCTACGATGCATTTTGCAATTCCTGACAAATACTCTGGAGTCGAAGATCCAAACAGAATTTTAATTTTGGGAGATCGCGAGTTATTGTGCGAATTAAACCAAGCCACTCTATTCGGCGACGGAACATTTGATAAAGCACCATCGATGTTTTATCAACTTTATACTTTGCATGCCAAAGTAGGAAATTCGTATTCACCATGTGTGTACATATTGTTACAAACTAAGAATGAAGCAACATACCTACAGATGTTTCAAATTGTAAAAGGGTTAGTTCCAAGCAGAAGATACTTTTAGATACTTTAGATACTTTAGATACTTTAGATACTTTAGATACTTTAGATACTTTAGATACTTTAGATACTTTAGATACTTTAGATACTTTAGATACTTTAGATACTTTAGATACTTTAGATACTTTAGATACTTTAGATACTTTAGATACTTTAGATACTTTAGATACTTTAGATACTTTAGATACTTTAGATACTTTAGATACTTTAGATACTTTAGATACTTTAGATACTTTAGATACTTTAGATACTTTAGATACTTTAGATACTTTAGATACTTTAGATACTTTAGATACTTTAGATACTTTAGATACTTTAGATACTTTAGATACTTTAGATACTTTAGATACTTTAGATACTTTAGATACTTTAGATACTTTAGATACTTTAGATACTTTAGATACTTTAGATACTTTAGATACTTTAGATACTTTAGATACTTTAGATACTTTAGATACTTTACTTTAGATACTTTAGATACTTTAGATACTTTAGATACTTTAGATACTTTAGATACTTTAGATACTTTAGATACTTTAGATACTTTAGATACTTTAGATACTTTAGATACTTTAGATACTTTAGATACTTTAGATACTTTAGATACTTTAGATACTTTAGATACTTTAGATACTTTAGATACTTTAGATACTTTAGATACTTTAGATACTTTAGATACTTTAGATACTTTAGATACTTTAGATACTTTAGATACTTTAGATACTTTAGATACTTTACTTTAGATACTTTAGATACTTTAGATACTTTAGATACTTTAGATACTTTAGATACTTTAGATACTTTAGATACTTTAGATACTTTAGATACTTTAGATACTTTAGATACTTTAGATACTTTAGATACTTTAGATACTTTAGATTCTTTAGATATTTTAGATACTTTAGATACTTTTAGATTTCGAGAGAGCCTGCATGAATGCTGCAGGGCGAACTTTTCCAGAAGCCGAAATTAAGGGATGTTATTTCCATTTGTGTCAAAGCCTTATAAGAAAAGTTAAAGCAGTTGGTTTAAAATCGGAATTCGAGTCGAACATCGACACAAAATTAAAACTAAAATCCTTGGCAGCATTATCGTTTGTGCCGTTAGAAGATGTACGAGATAATTTTAATAGCCTTGCAGAAACTTTTCCTGATGAAGAGAGATTTAACGACGTCCTTACATATTTTTTTTCAACTTATATACAAGGTGCCGCCGGAAGAAGTCCACAATTCCATCCGAGAATATGGAACCATTACGATGCCGCTCTTGAAGAAACGCCAAGAACGACCAACTGTTGTAAAGGGTTTCACAATGCCCTTAATTCCATATTTCATTGCAGTCATCCGAGCATATGGATGCTTTTCGGTGGATTGAGAAGAGATTTAGCATGCCACAAACTTACATTGGTGAACTCCCAAGCTAACAGACTGGAGCCCACCAAAAAGAAATACAGATAACTGTACGCGATTGTAGCCAGTTCTGTAGAAAAGTATCAAGAAACAGTTAACAATGTATCTTACTTAAGAAGAATAGCCAACTTACAGTAGTACGTCTATTAAAGTGCGTTTATCTTTTGTTACATTATTCATTTTTTCGTTTTTAATGTATTAATATGGATTTAAAATATATTACACTAAAAACCTATATGCATTTTACGTTTGTACCTACATTATTATATAAAAAAAATATAAACACAAATCCATGAATATATTAGTACAAATAGTTGGCGATTATAAAATTAAAATAAAATCAACATGGAATTGCAAAAATATTTAGGTTTTAAAGATAAAATATGTACCTATAAAACTCGCTATTTTACAAAAAATGCAAAATCATCACAACCGGAATTTCATAAATATAATTATTACAAATCGTTAACGATTATAATATTATAAATGAAAACAATGATCAAAAATTATAATAGAACTCTAAAAATATTTCAAACCAAAAACCAATTCTATTTATCAATAAAAAATATATATAGTACACTTGTCTGAATTTTAAAATTAGCGCAAAACAAAAATAAAACCAGTCTTCAGTAACTTACTAGTAACTTACTTATGAACGTAATTTATTATAAAATATGAAATAAAGTTATTATGACAGAAATCCAAAAACCTAACGTTATTCTACGAAGATTCTTAAATTTTGAAAAATTTTAGTTTAATTCAGGTTAAGGTCTATAATAAATAGATATTAATGATATATTCCCTAATTACCTTACAATATTCAAAGAAGATTGTTAAATTTTCAAAACTTTTGTCTAATTAATGTAACGGTCTATAATAAATAGATATTAATGATATAATCCATGAGTACCTAACATTATTCTAAGAAGATTTTAAATGTTAAAATATTAGGCACAGTTTGAGTTTAATTCGTGTCTTTATTTAAAACGGTTCGACTATCAATTCTTGTAAATGCTGTTTAGTGACCCTTTAATTATTTTCGAAAAATTTCGTAAATTTCGCCAACTTAAATAGGAAAAATGAGCTGCCAAACTGTTTAACATCCATGCATACGCAAATGAAATGTCTGTTTCCGTTGCCTTCTGCTTGTTAAAAGACGAAAGTATACAAGTTACTTGAAACTGCAATGTGGCAACTTATAAAGAAAGAGATTGACGGCATGGGATTTATCCTGAATTAAAAATTATTAACAAAAAAGCAACTAATAAATGAAATAATAAGTACCTATCTTAATTTTATAATCTCCAGTAAAAATAAATGACCACTTGCAAATATTTCGTTTTAATTAAGATAATGAGATAAGAAACTGATCGTTATGATTTTTTAAAAGCGGATTTGGTGGAATTAGTCTGTCCTCAACAATCCATAATGGAGATATAAATATTATAAACCGTATTAACTTTATTGTGAAAGTATTTTAAGAATTTTTTTAAACTTGTCTAATATTTTTCACCTGGAATATAACAAACCAAGGTACATATCTATTCTTTGTATCGTACTTATAATAATTCCGAATAAGTAGATTCCTGAATTATCAGCAAAAATTATGGTAACTACTGTAAAAAACGATAATTAAAGTTTTAATCAAACAACAAAAAATTGTAACAAAATATAAATATAAACTACATGCACTTTGCGCTTTTTTCAATGTGCGCTTTTTTCCATGTGCGCTTTTTTCCATGTGCGCTTTTATACCCGTGAGCTTTTTTCCGTGTGCGGTTTTTTCCGTGTGCGCATATTTCCTCGTGCGGTTATTTCCTGTGCGCTTATATATCTGTGAGTTTTTTATTGTGCGCATATTTCCTGTACGCTTATTTCCTTTGCGCTTTTTTCCGGTCACCTTGACATATCTCCTACATTTCGTGTGCACTCATGCAAGCCGTGCAGTAGATTCGAAGACGCTATTAGAAAACACAGTTGTTAAACTGCAAAAAAAGTGATGCGTTCAATTCCATTACAGCTAAACGACTGTGTACATTTAGTGCATAGTACCCTTCGAGCAAATATATTCGGAGCTAGTATGGCATAAATATTTTATGCCTGGCATCGTTTTACGACAAGCACCTTTCGGTGAGATTGATGTTGTACAGCTTAATTTTAGCGTCCTCCTATTAGATGAACTGAGCCTTTCTCAAATTTTTATTTGTAGAGCACACGTTAGCTCGCAATAAATGCCGCTACACGTGGATTGTGGTTTTGCTCAATGTTCTAATTGGTTCTTCGCTACGCTTGGCTGTGTCATTGCTCTGTTAAGTGAGCAAAGGTGGACAGTGTTTGTTTATCCAGTGTATTTTTGTTTGGATTTTTGATTTATAAAAAATAGCTTTTTGGAGGCCTTTCGAAAGTGATGGAAATAATGTAATCCCTAAAGCTATGTAAATAATTATAACTCTGATTGACCATTTTTGAATAGGTAGAATCAGTTGCAACCCAAAAACAATTAAATTGATATTTAAATAACCATATAAATAACCATGTAAATTTTAATCAGTTCAAAGTCTACTTAGGCAGTTTACGTTATTGTTTACCTATAAAGGGCGATTCACCAAGAAAAGATAATATTTTACCTGTAAACTCTATAGTGGAAAATGTTAATTTTTGGTTTTTTAACTGGAGGTCAAAAATTAATAGATATTGAGAAAAAGTAATAAATGTAAAAACAATACGAGAACACATAATAATTAAGGAGGTAATTAATAGTAAATAGAGACTTTATTAAGATTACCATTACAATATTTAGGGTACTATTAAATAAAATAAAAAATTGGCATTTATATATATGATAAATTTTCGTATATTTTTTAAAATTTTGTTGATCCCGTAAATGCATTTTGCTACATTAAAATCGAATTTTTTGGTGTTAATATTTAGACTATTGTTATTAAGTGTGCCGTATTTAATAGAAATTCAATTCCTGTCGATATAACATGCCGATTATTAAATCGCCATGCATTACCGTCTCGATGATGGTGGGTGAGGTTTTCCGGGTTTTCCTAACCTGTAAGTCAAATGGCACGATCAATCATCTTTAAGTCGCCCCGGAACGCCACGCCAAATAATAGTAATAGCCGTCCCTTTCCCCGCACAAGCTCAGCTTTTGGGGTTAAAATTCACTTGTAAGGGGGTGAATTAGGGAGAGTATTATTATTATTATAAGATTTATATTAAAATATTTACCCCAAACGCGCTCTTACCTCAACTGACCCTACACAATTCTATGCAGAACCCATCAGAGTTGCTTCTGAAAGTGAAGAAAAATTGGAGAAGGATGAGGAGGAGGAGGAGGAGGATGATATGTGGATATGTGCATATCACAAATATGTACCACCAATTAAAATTGGAAAATAATGGATCTGATTACAGTGTCATAGAAAGAAGACAGGTTTTGACAAAAATTTCTAAACCTTCGATTAGAAAAGTTATTACAATTCAAGAATGTCTTCCAAGAAAAAAGCGGACTCAAAGGTCTCTAGTAAGTCTAGATCACTACGTAATGGAAAATATTAAAAGAAAGGTTTATAATTTTTATTCTAATAACATTCTGCCATCTTTTAAAATAATTAAAAAGAAATCAAGTAGGTCCCGGTTTCCCTAACAAATCTGATAAAACCACTATAAAAGTGCTCCGTTCTTTGGGTTTTAGATATCGTACTTAAATAGAAGACAGCATATTATGGAATCTCAAAGAATTATTATTTTACGTGATGAATACCTTACTAAAATAGAGGAAGCTTGTTGGTAAAATAGATTCATAGTGTATCTCGATGAGACTTGGTACGACACTAATGATATTGTGAAAAAAGGATGGCGTGATCAATCTGCTAAATGTTCTGTAAATGCTCCTTCAAATAGAGGAAAACGTATTATAATATTACATGCCGGTAATGAAAACGATTTTGTGCCAAATTGTCAAATATTTTGAGTTGATCAGCAGATTATCACCAAGATATGACATCTACCTTGTTCGAGAAATGGTTTGGTGAACAATTGATTCCTAAT